AAAGAAAGAAGAAAGCAAGGTATTTTAAATACATAAGTATTTGAGAGTACATTAAGTACATCCTTAAGTATTTGAAAGATTGGCATATTTAGAAGGATTCCACTTGTTTTGCTTAGCCCTAGAGAGCAGAAGAGGGAGTAATAGGATATAGCAAACAAACAAACAAACTTTGGATCAAGAGGACATGGATTTGAATCCTGATGCTGATGCTCATTATGTCTGTAACCTTGAAAAGTCACTTAACTTTTCAGGTTATTTACTGATCTGTAAAATTAGGAGATTGGACCAGATGATCTCTAAGACCTCTTCTAGCTCCAAATCCTATGATCCTATGAGTAAATCACAGAGAGTCCAACTGTAACTGGATAGAAGGAAATTTTTCCTAAAAATTAGAATTGTCCAAAAGTGGAATGGGCTGTCTCATCAAATAATGAGCTCCTCATCATTGGAGATATTCAGGTAGAGAACAGATGATCAGATACGAGGTACGCTGTAGAGAGAATTCCTATTCACGTGTGGTTTGGACAAGACTACCTGTGAAGTATAGCCTACTATGTGCTAGATACTAAGGATGCAAAACTACAAATAGTCATTGCCCTAAAGAACCTTATACTCTTTTGGAGATTCTACACAGAAAGATGCAAGAAGCATTTAACTTGGGAGATCACTTGAAAAGGTCCTTGGTGGGAGGCATAGGGAGAACTTTCTATCTAGAATTATGCTCGAAGAGTTATTAAACTACCTATACCCTTTGACCTAACAATACCATTACTAGGTCTATTTCCAAAGATGATTAGGGGAAAAAGGAAAAGAACCTGTATGTTCTAAAATATTTATAGCAACTCTCTTTGTGGTGGCAAAGAACAAGAAATTATAGGTATGCCCATCAATTGAAGAACGACTGAAAAAATTGTGATATATGATTGTGATGGAATACTATTGTGCTGTAAGAAATTATGAGCTCAATGATCTTAGAAAAACATGGATAGAGTTTAACAAAACAATGAAGGGCGAAATGAGCAAAACCAAGAGAACGTTGTATATAGTAACAGCAGTATTGTTTTAAGAACAACTTTGAGCAACTAAGTCATTTTCACTTTTATAAATACCCATATTAACTACAAAGGACACATGAAGGATGATGCTATTTGCATCCAGAGAAAGTACTGATAAGAAGTACATATAGAATGCTTATATATATATATATATGTACACATACATACATACATATTTTTGTCTAATGGCAGTCATCTCTAGGGTGAGAGAAGGGAGGGAAGAAAAAAAGGGGGAAAAAGAAATTCGCATGATAACTTTATTATATATTCAAAAAGAGTAGCAAGTTGTACATAATAGATTTGCAGTTTCATGTGCAATTATCTTTTTTTAATTATACTATGTTACGGAACTACTCGCCTTATTCCATAAATTAAAAGTGAAATAAATATATTTTTTTTTAAAAGAGAAAGGCCTTTAATGGTTAGATTTGTTTCTGGGCCTTTCTCACCCAGTGTCTTTCCTTGAGCCTCCTTCATCTGAGTCTTCTAGGATTCTCTTGATTTGGGGAACACAAGGCCCCTAGGTCAAGCAATTAATTTTTGCTTATTTTAGGTTCCTTGCTGACTTGTGAATTAAAGTGGCTTAAAGGTTGTTGTATGAATCATTGAGTCCAACTCCCTCATTTTAGAGATGAGGAAAGTGAAGTCCCAGGAAGTCAAGAGATTTGCCCAAGATCATACCACTAGTTATAGGGTTTCCAACAGAAGGTTTGGCTAGTGGCTCAACCAGGACTAGAATCTGAGTTTCTTGACTTTTATCTAGTATTCTTTTCCACTACACCATAGTTACTGTTATGGACTTTAAATCAAGTCTCTTCTGCTCCTTCTCCCTAGAAAGCCTTTGTGCAATGGTCTGCATAGTAAGTCAGATCCCTGTTCAATGCTTACTGGTACTACTCTGTTTATTGGTACCTAGTCTCTTTCCTTGGTTAGTTCAAGTGAAAAATGGCTTAAAATTCCAGCCCACAAGCCATTCCCCTGGATTCCCATTGGTGTAGCTCAAGATGAGCAGGTGCCTTCGACAAGAAGGAACCTCTCATAACTCCACCCACTCTTCTCTTAAGAGAGGAGCCTTCAGAGGCTCAAACCTATGTCCATCTGCACCCCAGCACAGTACAGCCACTTAGCAGTTCTTTTACACAGGTGTCCATTCCAGTAGGGAACAGCTGTGTAGTGGAAATCTGAGAGCAAGGAGGAGAGTCTTTGAAAATGGAGAGGGTTCTGGGGTCCCAGCAAGTCCATGCAGTGCTCTTGTGTGCCACCTGAAAGGCCAGTGGGTCTGCCCTGAAGGGAGCTCCTTGCAGCTTTTTGGTAAGTGACACAACTGTCAATTCTCCCTGTTCAGGGAAAGAGGCTCTAGAATGTCAAATCTAGAAGAGATCAAGCCCCACCACCACCACCTTCATTTTACAGAGAAGTGAAGTAGCTTGCCTACGGTCACACAGTGCTTGAACTAGATCGCCCAGAGCTCCTGATCCCCAATCTTTCTAGCTCACTTCCCTGCTTTCTGAGGGGTCAGGAGCTAGAGCACTTCAAGTACGAACATCCGACCCAGAACCTAAGAGGATAGATGGATGGACCACACCGGAAGTAGAGCATCAGCTCTGAACTCAGGTCCTCCTGACTTCAGGGCCGGTGCTCCACCCACTGCGCCACCTAGCGGCCGCCAGCTGGCCCTACTTCTTGATGATAATTGACACTTACTAGCTGTGTGACCCAGGGCAAGTCACTTAATCTCTTTGAGACTAGTTTCCTTATCTATAAAATGAGAATATTGGACTTCATGGCTTCTTTGGACCCCTCCAACTCTAAATTTATGATCTTATGATCCATTCATCCTTTTCTAAGTGTTCAGGGAGTTGGGGCAGATACCCTTTTACCATGAGGCCACCCAGATCCCTCTCTCCCTTCTGTCACTCATGATCTCAGTGATTTACACAAGTGGAGGGGAAGACTGTTAAGTCAGGAGGCAGATGATGGGATAGGAGATGGACTGGACTCAGGACACCTGGGTTAAGGTATCAGCTTTGCCATTGCCTTTCTCCTTGGTCTTAAGAAAGTCAGCTCACCTTTATGGGCCCATTTTCCTCATCTGTAAAATGAAGGGATTAAACTATATGAATTGTAAGGTCCCTTCTAGCTCTAGTAACATGTAATCTTTAAGGACTCTGGGAAAAGAGGGTAGAGGTAGGCAAGTAAAGGAAGAATAAAGTGACCATGCCCTATTAGAGTTCTCTGACTCAGCCTTCCCATAGGGGATATATTTGAGGAAAGTCTTGAAATTTAGTATTAGGGGAGTGATTTTGTAAATTGGAAGTGGAAGTTATTTCAGGTTTGTGAGAGATGTCAGGAAGGAAGGAAAAAAAGCATTTATTAAATACCTAATTATGTGCCAGGCACTGTGCTAAGCTCTTTACAAAGATTTCCTTTGATCCTTATATTAACCCTGCAAAGTAGGTGATCTTATAATCCTCATTTTACAGCTGAGGAAACTGAGACATATAGAGGTTACATGACTTGTCTAGAGTCACACAGGTAGTAAATATCTGAGGTTGGATTTGAACTCAGGTCTTCCTGATTCCAGACCCAGGGCTCTCTCCACTGAGTCACCTATCTCCATCTGATGGGGGCCTGATGGAAAAGGTAATGAAGGTGGGAGAGAAAGGTAACCAGAGGCTAAGTGATGTGAAATGAAAGAGACCTGAGGACAAATAGATAAGGAGGGAACATGCAACAGGAAGTCACCAAGGGCAGGGAAACTACTACAGGAGATTTAGGATGGTGAGAAAAGAAGATTTTGATGAGAACATTTGGGGGGAGGGAGGAGAGGAATTTGTTATCTACATAATTAAAAGATGGGCAAAGAAAGATGACTATATTCCTGGTATTCGTGATTGATGGGAGCAAAAAGAGCAAAAGTAGAATTCTGGCATTTACTTTAGGAATCAGGATGATAGGGCTCAGAATTATTGGATCTTCATTATGGCCTTGGAAAGCTTATCTGCTCCACAGAGACTCCATGCCAAGAGAAACTAAAAGTCTGACACTCAGACCACCCACCCTCACCGTGGAGTTTCCAGGACACTGGGGCCCTAGAAATCCAGACTTGAGAATCTCCATTCCACTGTCAGAAACATGATAAGTAATCTCAGCATCATCTATGTGATTTGCTTTCTTATAACAGTTTCTGACATCCATTCCTAAGCTCATGAAGTCAAGGCCCCCAGGGCCTCATTTACCTGACAGTCCTCATGTGCATGCAGGCACACAGACTCTAGCTGGGTGTCTGCACCAGCTGAGAGCTGATAGGTCTGAAAAAAGAACAATGAAGTGTCCTCAGACATTTAGGTTGGCACTTGGCCATCCCTACATATGGGATCAGACCACAACTGAAGCCCCATATAGTTACTCATTGTCTCTACCTAGCAGGAGCAAAACTTTTGACATAATGTCAGACAGTGGGCATGGATGAGGTCTGGATCCAAGCCAGGCTGAATGTCATAATATGATTTCTCTTCTAGCAAAATCACTAAAGTGTATTGCAAAAGTTGTTCTGGATCACCTGGGATCTCATATCTCACTCAACACAGAAGGGATTTGGCAGACAGGGATTAATAGGGAAATCATATTGGAGTGATAAAGTCTCAGGCTTTGTTTAGGGTGGATTTTTAATGTAATCCTTTAAAAAGAGCACAATTCCTAAGAAACTTTCATTGAACATGGTTCTTGGGACAGAGGATGCTCTTATATAAAGTCACAGAATTAGAAGGACATTATGGCTCCTATTGTCCATCCCTTGCCTGAAGCAAAAATCCCTCAAGCTGAGTGTGTGGGTGATTGCTGTCTTCAAGAAATTATCCTTCCTCCAGATCACTGGGAAAAGAGAAATGTGTATGTCCCCCTCAAATTTTCATTCCCTTTATGATGTCTTTTTTTACTTCACAGGTGATTCACATTTCTGCCTTACTGTAAGACAAGGTTCCCAACATGTATTACAGTTCTTATCACTGGATCTTTGTGTGTCTCTGTATCTTCATTCCAAGGTAAACCAAACTACCACAAAACCACCTTGGTCAAAAATGGTGTATGCCTATGAATTTTAAATGGTGGGGCAAGGCACTAGCACTCCGCAGCTCTCTCTGTTTCATCAAACAAACAGAGGCCAAACAAAGCATTCATTTCCACTAAGCACCAGATTTGTGAGTGCAATATAGTTCATTGGATTTGCTCTCAAGCAAATTTCCCAAGAACCAAGTTTCTTTTAAGGTCAGAAGTGGATGAGTCCTTTTAAGTACTCTTATCTATGGCACATATTCACAGTGAAATAGGATGAGATTGGTTGATTGTCACTTAGCATTAAAGGACATTTGGAAGTTATTGCTCTCTTGCTCTCTCTCTCTCTCTTTCCCCTTCCCTCCTTCACTCTCCCCCAACCCCCAAAACACACACACACAAGTAACAAAGCTTGCTTTCTATTCCAGAATATACATCCAGGGGAATCAATCTAACATCGAGACCAACATGAATGACAAACTCTCATTGCCTGGCTTTCAGAATCTCACTGCAGGATATAACAAGTTTCTCAGGCCCAATTTTGGTGGTAGGTTATCATATTTTTCAATAGTTATCAATTTTTGGGGGGGGGGTGAGGCAATTGGGGTTAAGTAACTTGCCCAGGGTCACATAGCTAGTAAGCATCAAGTGCCTGGTCTGAGGCCAGATTTGAACTCAGGTCCTCCTGACTCCAGGCCCTGTGCTCTATCCACTGTACCACCTAGCTGCCCCAACAGTTACCAATTTTAAAAAATTACAGGTGCAGCACACAGAGGGGAGAAAATGTAGGCTTTCTTTTTAATTTCACTTTAAAAAAAACAGGTAGGAGAAGAATGGAAAAGGATGAAAATGAGAACACCATCAATTAATTTTTCATATGACCTTGGACATATAAATTTACTTCTTCATGCATCTATGAGATTAGGAAATGCTCCATATTCTGTCAGAATACATTGATTTAGAGTTTTCAAAGCATTTTCAAATATAATATCATATTTGGTTCTTACAATAATCTTATAAAGTAGGCAGGACAGACATTGTCATTCCTGTTTTATAAAAGAGGACATTTAGGATCATGGAAGTTTCATGACTTTTCCATGGTCCAGGATTTTTTTTTTAATATCAGATCTTCTAACTGTACCATTGTTTTATATACTGCCTTTATATAGTAACCTACAATATAACCCAGAGGAGAAAGTTCAGCCCTTACTGGTACACACCCACTTAGCAATCCCACTCAGGTATATCCCCTAGATATCACAAATAGTGTGTAAGCTGAAGCTGGCAAATGCTGAGTGAACATCTCCTGCCATGACTGCTTTGGTCAAAATTTCCTAGGTGGAAGCTGCCCTCTGGTGGCACAGTTTAATTTTATTACTGAAGGGGGCAGAAAGAACAAAAGAAACCATCAGCTGTTTAGAAACAAACTCCAAGACACGGAGAGTCTGGAGCTCCCCAGGGTATTTACTACACATGCTCTGCATTTTCAGGGGGGAAGGAGTGCTTCACCCCACTGAAGGTTTATTTCCAAGTGTTCTATATAAAAATTTATTGTTCAGTTTTCTTAGACACTGGCAACCAGGTGGCACAGTGAATAAAAGATAGGACCTAGAATCAGAAAAATCTAAACTCTGAACTCTTGCCTCAGATACTAGCTGTGTGATCCTGGGCAAGTCTGCCTCATTTTCCTCATCTGTAACATCATAACAGCACCTACCTCAAAGGGTTTTTGGTGAGGGTCAAATGAGTTAACATATGTAACATTTGCAAACTTTAAAGCACTATATAAATGCTAGCTATTACTGCTTTTATTAGATTAATCAGACTGCTTTGCTTGTTTGGCACTTACCAAATTGTTCAAAGGGTTGTTGCCAAATAAAGATTCCCTTCCTTCTCTCTCACAGTCCCCTAATTTAACACACTGCTGTGGCCATTGGTGATTATCTGTCTACTAGGGGAGGAACCATCAGTTCCTTTACAATGAGTAAATAGTATTCATTAGGATTCGTTACCCTGGAATCTATTTTGTTTTCTTTCCAAAAACTGCCAAGACACGAGAAGAGTCAGCTTCTCCTAGTCCAGTACTTCTTAACCTGTGGGTCATGACCCCATATGAGGTCTCGAAAAATTCAACAACAGTAGAAAATTTCTGAACATGCAGTTACCAAAAATTCATTCAAAATCAAATGTGTAATGAATCTGAGGTGTTTCTAGAAGCACTTGCCCATGTTGCATCGTGCTTCACCGAGGCCTTGGTTCTGAACACAAAGCATGTACACCTTGTACTGTGCATGCCCTCAGTCCCTAGTGGAATAAGTTTAAGAAGTTCTCCCCTAGACTGTCCTCTAGAAACCTGCTTCACAGGTTGGGGGGCGGTGTCCTGAGCTGTAGTGATGCATTTATCTCCAAAGCTGGGATATTCATCCCCCCTAGCTGGTCTGTAGAGTTCTTAAAATTGAGGCTATACTTCACCAAGTCTTTCCATAGCCCTTTATTCAGCGTTGCATTTTCTGTCAATCTACATTTTTATTTAAGTTGAACAAAATGTCTAAAATACCCTCTATTCTTTCCAATCCCCATTTTGGCATTGTAAATGCATTAAATATCAATAACAGTTAATGTTGGATCTCAGACCTTAGGATCCAAGTTGACTAACTCCAAGATGAATAAGGGAGGTAGTGGTTTCCATTGGAAAATATATCAGAAAAAAGTCAGAATACTTGGGCCCCAAGGTTCAGCCATTATCTAGGGAGCAGACTTTCAATGGTATACACACATACACACATGCATACATATATGTATGTATATATATATTTTTTTTTTCTTTTTCAAAGGACTTAAAAATTATCTAATCCAAGGGTTCTCACTCTGGGTTCCATGAATAGATTTTGGAGGATACATGAACTCTAATGGGGAAAAACAATTGCATCTCTATTTTTCACTAGTATTTTCATTCACTGTATTTTAGCATTTTCTTTCATTATAAATTTAAAGCAAAAACATATGAGAAGGGGTCTGTAGGCTTCACTTAATGGCAAAAAAGTCATTAATCTCATTCAGTTCTCTCATGTTAATCATAGTCATCTAGTCATAGATTTAGAGGTTCAAGGGACCTTAGAAGTCACCTCATCCAACTCCCTCATTTTAGAAATGAGAAAATTGAAGCCCATATGGATGAGAGGACTTGTACAAAGTCACACAGGTACTAAGTGGCAGAAGTGAAATATGAACCTAGTCTTCTCCCTCCAAGGCCATTGCTCTTTCCATTGGACTATGTTGAACCATCTCATTTTATGGATCTGAGATCCAAAGAAGAGAAGGGGTCTTAAAGCCCCATATCCTATTGCTAAGTAGTGGCAGAATTAGGATCTGAAGGATCTTGAGGAAAAGCACTGACAAACACAGCTTAGAGCATATCTAGTGACAATCTCCTGCCCTTGGTACAATGATAAAAGCACCAGACTTGTACTCAGGAAAGACTTAAGATTGAACCCAACTTTACAATCTGTGTGACCATGGACAAGTTACTTAATTTCTCAGAACTACAGCCCCCTCATCTGTGAAATGGGAATAATGATACTTATTGTATTTGCCAAGTGTCATAAGGGTAAAGTGAGAGAGGAATTTGTATGCAAAGTGCCTTGCCAACCTTAAGAAGATATATGGTATATTATTATTGTTATTGTTATTATTATCATCATTATTGACTTCAACAAACATTATCCTCTAGTCCCCAAAGAAGAGTATCACAATGGGCAATAGAATAGTGTCCATATTTTCCTTTCCTAATTGATATTAATTTATCATTGCCAACAAACTGAAAACTCTCATAATGAAACAAATACAAAAATTAAACCAGTAGAATGAGACCTTCTTTGTCTTTACATGCTATTATACTCAATTCAGTACCCTGAACATCTCGGAAGGTGGCAAGGGAAGTGTGCAGACCTGTGATTTCTTTTGTGTGGTGAACTCCCAGTGTGGAAATTCTCTCCTCTGAAATAAATCAGAGATTGCCTGGGAGACTGAGAAGTTGAGTGACCTGCCTACAGTCACATAGCTAGTTTATGTGAGGGGCAAGACTTGAAGCGGGGGGTTCTTGATCCGAAGGCCTGCCCTTCCTTCTACTTCAAAAGATTGCCTCTCACCTTCTAGCACTTCAGGTAAGGGTCACCACTTAGAATTTCAGATCCTTGTCTTTCTCTCCCAGAGGAAGACAGTAAGGAAATGGAGATTCAACCCAGCCCTTCCAACTAGTTGAGTGACATCCTCAGGCAAAACATGTCACTCCTCTGGACCTCAGTTCCTTTGTCTAAAAAATGAAGAGGTCTTAGGATGAAAGCCAGAAATGACTCATTTTATGGACAAGAAAACTGAGGCCCAGAGAGGTGAATTCACTTGTCCATGGTCACTGAGGTTGAAAGAAAATAGAGAAATTCTATTTCTAATACAGAATTTACTACTCAGATACTTTGACACCAAATCCTGTGCTCTTTCCATTGAATTATGTCAATTTCAGTTCTAGCTCTCACATTCTGTGATCTAAAAATGATAATAACCTTTATTGTATTAGAAAAGCCATGATGGTACAAATTTCAGCTGAATCGCTAAAGTAGTAGTCTTCAGTCTTTTTAAAATCATGTATTTTGGGGCAGTTAGGTGGTACAATAGATAGAGCTCAGGAGGACCTGAGTTTAAATCTGGCTTCAGACACATGACACTTACAAGCTGTGTGACCCTAGGCAAGTCATTTAACCCCAACTGCCTCACCAAAAAAAAAAAAATCATGTATTTCTCATTTTAAAAAATCAAATATCTATATATTTACTTATTTATAAATTAAATATTTACTACTGTACCAATAATTACTACTATACCAATAATGTTATAAAACTGAAACAGAAGATAGAAATTATTAAAAAGATTAAATAAAGATAAAGAATAGTCATCCCTAGAGTCAATAAGTGGCCTCTGGAGTTTACTGAGTAAGAGAGTGACATGGTTAGGATGGCCCTTTAAGAAAATTACTTCTGTAGGTATGTCAGAAACAGGCCCTGCCCTCAAGTAGGCTTACAGGCATTTAATGTGGGAGATAAAATTTAGGAGAGGTGAGAGACTTGAGGCAGAGCCCGATTAGGAGGCTTTAACAATAGTCCAAAAGAGAGGTAGGTGATAAGCGACTGAAGTTGTGTGAGTGACAGAGGTTATTGAGGTAGAAACTACAAGATTTAGCAACTGACTAGATCTGTGATGGAAAATGAGCAATTAAAGATAACACCATAGCTCCTAATCTGCATGACTAGAATAATGGTGGTGCTCTCAACTGAAATAGGAAAGTTTAGAAGAAGGATGTGTTTAAAGAGAAAGATAGTGCATTCACAACTCATACATGTCTGTTCACCCTCGACTGATCACCTTTTTCAACCAAAAACCCAAGACAAGAGTAGGGGCTTACTCATTGACCACTGTTCCTGAGTGCAAAGCCCTCAACTGAGGGGTTCCTGCTACAGCACCACGGTAATGGGAAGGTGGAGTGTGGGGGCAACAGGGTGTGTGGATTTGCAGGGAATTTTCTGTTTACTATCTGGGTTGGGGTAGGTTAAATCTAGGGGTGTGCTGGTAAATGTTTAACAACCAGCTCTTGGGGGGTCGGAAGGGGGAATTGCGCACAATTTTTAAGTCTACTCTTCTTTTTTAACATTTTCTCCATCACTTTGTTAAGCCTAGACAATGAACAAAACAATAAACCCCTGACTATAACCACTCTGAGGAGGCTCAATTTGTGTGTAGCCTCAGAGGGCCAGTGGTGGGAAGAGATGGGGTAAGAGAGTATTTAAGGGGGTGTTAGAGTTGTCTTGGAGATGAGCCCATGATTGGTTGTGGTGGAATGTAGCCCATTTCCCATTCTCTCCTTGGTTGATCACATATACCCTTAGGGGTCAAGCCAAGGTCCTTCAGGGTTTATTGGGGGCAGCTAGGTATCAAAGTAGATAGAATATGGCAGAAACTGTCTTTTGCCTATTTTTGTATCCCCAGTACTTAACACAGTGCCTAGTACATAGCTGGTGCTTTGAGAGAGCTGGTTTGTGCAGTGGATAAGAATGCCAGGCCTGGAATCAGAAAGACCTGAGTTCAAATCCAGCCTCAGACGCTTACTAGCTGTGTGACCTCAGACAAGTGACTTAACCTCTGTTTGCCTCAGTTTCCTCACCTGCAAAATGGAGATAATAACCCAGGGTTGTTGTGAGGATCAAATGAGATTTGTGAAGCACTCAGCACAGTGTCTGGCACATAGTAGGTGCAATATGTTAGCTATTATTATTATTATTATTCCAAGGATCCCACTTTGGAGACTGTTGATCTGGCCCTCTACTACATGTAGATGCTCTTCTGTGCAGGTCTTTTTTGGCAAGAGTTTTACAAATACCTCATCACAGAAAGCAGGCCTCCAAGTGAGGAAGACCTGAATTCAAGCCCCACCTTGGAGAAGTCCTCATTTGTGTGACCTTGGGTTCCCTAAGTACAAATACTCAGTGCTCTAGGCAGCTCTCTTGGGCCTTCAGTTGCAAAGCTGACAATGAGCAGTTTACCTCTACCAGTGAAATCACAGGTGTAGTCAACCATTATCCCTTGGTCTTTAAGTAGCAGATGCTCACGTATTGACAAAAACAAAACAACAACAAAAAAAACAACCTCATACTTTTGTCCTCATGTCATCCTCTTCTATCTCTTTCTTCTTCACAGGGGAGCCTGTTCAAATAGCATTAACACTCGACATTGCCAGTATTTCTAGCATTTCAGAAAGTAACATGGTGAGTGTCTTTCTTTCTCCCCTACGCCACAACAGATTGACTTTTTTTCATGGCTCATAGGGATATGGTCTCCAGTAACACAAAAGGATTTAAACATCAAGACCTAAACTCAGTTTAAGCCAGGGCTTTGTCAAGGGACCCAAGATAGTCAAAGATACATTACAAAGCAGATTTTGAGAATAGTAGGGAAAAGAAAGTAAAGCTTCAAAGACCCAAAACATAAAAACTTAGTATTTTAAGAGAGAGAAAGTTGGGGGTGAGGGGAAAATACATTGGGGAATACTTGACATCGTGTAACCCCGGAGAGTAGGGGAAATTAGGTAAAGATTTACAATAAATATCTTTCAATAGTTCTGTAATTGAGGATAAATAGCTAAAAAAAACTAGATGAAATAAGTTCATTTGGTATAATAGAAAAAGTGATGGACTTAGAATCAGGAAAATGGAGTTCAAATATTGACCTTGGGCAATTCAGGTAACCTCTCTGAGATTCCTTTTTCTTATCTGGAAAATAGCGGTACTAGTGGCACTACCTGGCACTACCTACATCACAGGGTTGTAGTGAGGAAAGCACCTTGTAAACCTTAATGTGCTATTTAAATGTGAGTTAGTATCATGGAGAGGGCCCAGGGTGCATCATGGACTAACTACGAGCATCTCAAGCATCCAACCTATGTGCAAACTTAGTAACTTGGTGTTTGTATTTAAAAAGACATTGGAGCTAGACTAGAGAAATAAAAGTTTTATTCAAAGGACAAGTTGAAAGGCTTAATTGAGTATTATGAAGAAAAAGGCCTTTGCTTACCTCTTCAAGTTACTACCTCAAACAAATAAATTCAGTTTGTCCTCTTGTTGATACTGGCTGCCACAGCCAGGGCTCTTGAACAAACTGTATTGATAAATGTCTCTCTTGTTCTTTCCCTTGATCTTAACTTTAGGGCGATGTGTAAGAAGTTGAGATTTTTCTCTAAGTTTTCTAGCCAGGTTCCTTTCTTTTTCTTCTTCTTCATATGTCCTGTATTTTTAATTTGGGTATTTATAATAGACAAAATAACTTATTTGCTCAAAGTCATTCTTAAAACAATATTGCTGTTACTGTATACAATGTTCTCTTGGTTCTACTCACTTCACTCTTCACCATTTTGTGCAAGTCTTTCCATGCCTGTCTGAGATCATTAAGCTCATCATTTCTTGTAGCACAGTAGATTCTATCACAACCATACACCACAACTTGTATAGCCATTCCCCAATTGATGTGGATCCCTATAATTCCAGTTCTTTGCCACCACAAAGAGAGCTACTATAAACACCTCATTCACATTCAAAGTTATAATTACTATTTGTGAATTTCCCTCCATCTTATGCTTACTCACTAATTTCTTTCTCAGCCTTTCTTTTTACCCTATCCCTGTTACCTTATCTTCTCCCCCACCCTTCCATTCCCTATCCTATGCACTCCTCCAAAAATTCCTCTACCCTCTCCTCCCACCCTTCCAAATCTCACCCCAGACAATGATCTACCTACCCTCACCCTTAAAAAACTGTCTCCTTAGGACTACACTGCGACCATCTACCTGAGGCAGCGATGGACCGATCAGCGGCTGGTGTTTGAAGGCAACAAGAGCTTTACTCTGGATGCTCGCCTTGTCGAGTTTCTCTGGGTACCCGACACCTATATTGTGGAATCTAAAAAGTCTTTTCTACATGACGTCACTGTGGGGAACCGACTGATTCGATTATTCTCCAATGGTACTGTCTTGTATGCTCTCAGGTAAATCTGTCTGTAGGTACAAACAAGCAGGTAATAATCAATGGATCAAGGGCCAGAGCAGGCTTAGCTATTTTCCCAGCAAATTTAAAGATGAATCAGTCTTACAGGACCCTATTTTTCTCTAAGGAGACAGTCACTTTCCTTGCCAATCTCTGTTCATGTCCTTATTCCCTACAGCAGTTGAGCCCTCCCTCCCATGTAACTTCAGTTCACCAAAATATACAGGTTTCTGTGAGCCTAGGGGAGGAATCCAGTCATCTTCTTTTGTATGATGGCTATTTGTCCTTTCCAAAGGCACCTTTGGATAGACATTTAATCAAATATCCATTGACCTAAGGCCAGTGTTATCTACAGTTTAAAACTACTAGCGCTGGAAGAGATCAGAGACATTTTACAGATGAGGAAACTGAGGCTCAGAGAAATTACGATTTTTTTTAATAGTGAAGGCAGGACCAGAACCAAGGTATACTGACTCTCAGTCTCGATACTATGGAAAAGTAAGACAGAAAACAGACCCTTCTTGCCACTGAGTTCAAGTTCTAGAAAGGAGACATTAAAGCTGGAATTTCATAGGAAGTACCAGGATAATGTGTTGCAGAGAACCAAGAAACAGCTGGATTTCTATACTCTCCATTTCCTTCTTTCCAGTAGAAATAGGGAAAAAAAGGGAGGAGGTAAAAATTTGTAACATTCCACTGAGTTCCATGCCTATATAGAAACTTAAGCATGTTAAATGATATAAACAGTAATAGTTGTAAGCCTTGGGCCTTACAACCCAAGATGGTTAACTCACTTTGGAGTCACTTTTAGTGAGGCAACATGGTCCAGTGGAAGGAGCATGGTTTGGGACTTAGTTAATTTGGGCTATTGTCCTAATTCTGCCACTAATCAGCTCTGTGACCTTAAACAATTCCCTTAACCTCTCTGGGGGCAACTAGGTGGCACAGTGGATATACAGCTAGATCTGGAGTCAGGAAGACTCGTCTTCCTGAGTTCAAATTTGGCCTCAGAAACTTACTAGCTGTATCACCCTGGGCTAGAAGGAAATGACAAACCACTCCAGTGTCTCTGCCAAGAAACCCCAAATGGGGTCACGTGGAGTAAGGCATGACTGAAAAACACCTGAACTAACTTCTCTGAGTCTCAGTTTCCTCATCTGTCAAATAGAGGTAATAGTAATTTTCCTTACTACCACAGCTGATGGAGAAATGCCTTGAAAATCTTTAAACCATTATACAAATGGAAGATATTAGTAAATGTTTTGCTTCTAAATTAGAAACACTGCAATTTCCCCCTATTGGGACCTGTTTCTCTTGACACTCCTTTAACAGTATCTAAGCTTCAAGCAGAGGCATTGAAATGTCGTTTGTCACCCCAAGCCCTAGTGGTGCTTTCAATGCAGGGTCCAAACCGCATGTTCACTTCAAGAAGCAAGCAAAAAGTCCTCAGGGCCTCACTACTAGAAGAGAAAACATTCTTTATAAGGCATCCTCTTAGGAAATGCTTTCTGAAGCTTGGGCTCTTTCTTTCCCCCAGAATCACTACTACTGTTGCATGTAACATGGACCTATCTAAATATCCCATGGACACACAGACGTGCAAGTTACAGCTGGAGAGCTGTGAGTATAATATCCTGTGTGCCCTTGAGATTATTTTCATAGCTGACTTTAAATCTGTTTAATAGCAAAAAAAGAACATCAGCTGTATATATGTCTGCTGTTGATATTAATCTAGGATGATGAGAGCCCCTTTGACTGCTCTCACCAAGAGATTTGGGTAAGTACCATAAAAGAAATAACAATCTTTGACTGTTAGACCTTCTTTGGACCGCAGTTATGGGTTGGTACCAAGTTTTTCAGTCCTCACAGTCAAAGGAAACGTTTTTAATGCAGTTCCTTTCCTGTGGCAGAGTACCAGCGATCTTTACTGCTTTACTTGTTTGTAGAACCATGATACTTTTAAAATAGGAAACTGAAGGAGACAGGGTTATGATGGAAAGCCCCAATCAACAATTTTCCCAGATAGTATCTCCTATCAGCTAGAAAGAAGGAAAGAAACAAAATGAGAAAAGTGGGTGAGATTAAAAGAGAGTGAAATGAATTAGAATGGAGTGAGAATAAAACAGAGTTCTGGGGGGGACCAAACAGGATAATAACAGCTAACATTTATATAGCATACACTATGTGTATATATGTATGTATCATGCTAACTGCTTTACAATTATCCTCTCATTTGTCCTCACAACAACCCTGGAAGGTAGGTGCTATTATTATCCTCATTTTACAGATGAGACAACTGAGGCAAACAAAGTTAAGTGACTAGCCTAGGGTCACACACCTAGTAAGTGTCTGAGGCTGTATTTGAACTCAGGTCTTCCTGATTCTAGGCCCAGCACACTATCTACTGCTCCACTTAACTGCCTCTAACAGAACTGATAATAATAATATATTTATAAAGCACTTTATAAATCTTAAAGCTTTATGTAAAGACTAGCTATAATCATCATGATGGGAAGAGGAGCTATAAAGGCTTCTGCAGTGCTGTGCTACTAAATGTTTAACAACCAGCTCTCCAAAAGATATTTTGGGAGATAGTATAATAGTTGCCTAGATCTAGCGTATTGAACATCCACAACTTTACTTATAAGTCCACACGTTTGTTTAACCATTCTTATGAATTTACCTATTCCTTCAGTATGGTATAGTGGAAAGAATATTAGATTTGTGAAGAACTATATTCAAATTCTACCACTTCAGAGATGTATGACCTTGTACAAGCCAGTTATTTGTTAAATATAGACAATAATATCTGAAGTATCAAACTTCTATGGTTGTGAAGATCAGATTAGATAATATATGACAATGCTTTATACATCTTAAAGCCCAACATAAATACTAGCTATTGTTATTATATTTTCCCATTTATATTCTCTTAGTTGCCATAAGTTTACATTTCTGCAGATGACAGAATTTCCTTTGATTTGTTTTCCTTTTTAATTAAGTTTTATTTTTTCAACTAAGAAAAATCTGTTTTCTTTCCCTCCCAACTCCCACTTGCCCAATGACAAATAAAAGAAAGAGAAACTCTTATAACAACTATAGACAGATCCCCATATTGTCTGGGTCTAAAAAGTATTTGTCACATTTTGTACCTAGAAAAGTATTTTTCTCATTTTGCCTCTAGAGTCTATCACGTATCTGTCAGGAAGTGGGCAGCATGCCACAGCACTAGTCCTCTTATATCATGGTTGATCGTTGCATTGATAAAGAATTCTTAAGTCTTTTGAAATTATTTGGTTTGGGTTTTTTTCCAGTGTCATTGTGATGACATAAGTTATTCTCCTGGTTCTGCTGACTTCACTTTGCATCAGTTCATACAAGTCTTCCCAGATTTTTATTTTTTTTGAAACTGATCCTTTCATCATTTCTTATGATACAACAGCATTCCCTTACATTTATATGCCATTTGTTCAGCCATTCCGTATTTGATGGGGAATTCTTCAAACATCTCGGGGGTGGCTCAGTCTAAGATCTAACAAAATTTTAGTGCACCCAAAGTGGTCTGATACAGGGTGAACTCTAATCATTGCCCTCCTGGTCTGAGCCTTGCAAGCTCTTGACCTCAGTTTGGGTCTGGGTGATACTATCATAGGCTTACCTGATGGGACTTTTGGTAAACTGTCAGCTAGCTAAAAGGCTCTGCATGCTTGCAGAAATGCCAGCTCACTCCTTGGTCTTAGTCTCCTGCCTCAGCTAATTTGCTGTAGGCCTCAGACCAGAATATGGGTTGAATCCAAGACTACTCCTGGGCTAAGTGATCCAGCTGCCTCTGCTCTTCTCTTGGTACTGAGCCTGGGCTTGCTACTGCTCTTGCCCCAGTCCTCAGCCGTTTTTGCCATCCCTAGACATAGTTCCCCTCCTCAGCCCACAATGGGTCTATGACTTAGTTCTAGGGTCAAAGTGACAGAGCTGCCAGTAGATTCCTGTTCCTACTTCTTACAGAGCTGCCTGGGCCAGTCTCTGCTGTATCAACAATTGCCCTTGACTGTAGTACACAGCCTCATGACCCAGTACAGCCCCTGGGTTGGAAGGTTCCACATAGCTCGCTCCTGGCCAGACCCATCTCTGGTGCCTCCTGACTTCTATCCATCTCCCTAGGCTGAGGTAGCCTGGAAAAATGAACCACCTTTTGGATTAACCCACTCCTTAGATTTCACAGCTTAGTCTGGCATTCTTTTAGATTTTTGTTAGAGTAATTGGGAGGATAACTGGGCTGCACTGCTTTTTCCTGCCCCACCTTTATTCCTTCAGTTTCCAACCCTCTTCTCTACTGTAGGATTTGGTGAACACTTTAACTCAATAACCATTTGTTAGTGTCTGCTATGTGTAAATTACCATTCAATGCTGCATCCTGATGTGGAGGTGCCCCTGGAGTTGACAAAGGATGTGCAAATAAAAACCTCAGAAGGTCTTACCAAGCTAGAAATGATTATGGATGGTGTGTCTGATCCAAGGATCCAATCTAGCTAAGTTCTTGAAGGTTTAACCCAAAAAGACTGGCTACTAAGTCCTCAGGATTTTTCTGGCCCTAGGAACTCATGAAAATGACTACTAAGGCATAGCAGGGGTATTTCATGGAGAAAGTACCCCAACAGATGAAATCACAGCTTTTTAAGCATTTAAATAAGTGAAAAATACTATACTAGGTACTGGGGGAGATAAAAAAAGAATCAAGATATGGTCTCTGCTTTCTGGAATCTGATAGATTCACTAACTCATTCATTCAATAAATATTAAGTACCTTATATGTTCAAAGCAATGTGATACACACTTAGAAAGATACGAAGTTTAGATAACCCATGGTCCCTGACTTTAAGGAGCTTACAAGTAATTATTGTACAACATTACATGATAAATGAACTAGGGAATTATAAAACAATGTGCTTTGTGAGATACAAGGGAAAAGGCAGGGTATTACAGGCATTGGGAAGAATGTAAGCAAAGATATAAAGGCAGAAGGTGTCCACGGTACATTTAGGAAACAGGAATGGAAAGTGAGTAGAAGGAAGTGGTAAAAGTTAAGAGTGAAGCTCAGGCCTTTCTGTCTACAGGTCTGCCCTTTTGGACAAAACCCCACCAGTACTTCCTAGAATTTCATATATTGTTGAACAAAAATTCTTGGTTCTTGAACTCTTCTACCAGGGTTTCCAGATCATTATTGGGGTCCCTATCTTTACTGGGGTCCCTGTCTTTGTCTCCATTCTATTTTCAACCAAATTTTTAAAAGTTTCTGTTCTGAAGTCTGTCAGGACACTTGCTTACATTAGTTTTAACAAGAGTCAAAACCTCGTACCTTGATTTTTTTTTTAATCTTCCTAGGTGAGTTAAACTGGATTACCTCATTCTCAAAGGCAACTACAGACACAGCTGTTAACATGGGACAATAGATAGTCCTATGCTTACCCTTCCCACACCCTTTATAATTTTGCATATTTGCCCTAGGCCTTCATCTTTGTTAACCAAAAACTCCAATTATGTTTAGTTTATTCTCATTCAGAATTTACTCCATTTCTTTGGTCATTTGAGTTTCCTTTCTCTAAGATTTTTCTCAATTCAACTATGTTGAGATGCAGCAACTAAAACTGTGCATAGTATTTCAAGTATGAACATAACACAAGTGTAACATTAGGAATTCTGTTTTATTTCTAAAGCCTTTCTATTCTAGGAGTCACTATAAGTGTTAGTTTTTATCTTTATGGCTTCTGTTTGCCTGGGTGATTTTCTCTATCTCTACCTTTGTATTCCTGTGTGTCCTTGGAAAAGTTTTATGAATTAGATTGTGTTGCAAGCTGCCAAAGGTCTTAGGTACAAGGGTACACCAAGGGAATAAGCAATGATGACTGTCAAAAAGTTGGTAACATCTGTGTCCCTAAGATATTTTCTCAAGTATGCCTGGTAATCTATAGTGAATCCAAGAAACTTTTCCAGCTTCATAACAGCTAACCCTGAGTAGATCATCTCATAAGCATTGTTTGGTTTATTTTTCTCTAAATTAATTCATTACTTCATACATCAGCCACTCAGTAAACATTTATTAAAAACCTACTATGTGCCAGGCACTGTCCTAAGTGCTGGAAGCCCAATGATGAAACTTACTTGCCAATCTGCTGTCCACTCATGCAGTTATTGAGGCCTTTCAACACTTTATTTCATCATGTGGACATGAGTACCCTGGAGAGTCATTATCATTTTGCAAAGTTGAAATTTCACTCTTATTGGCTTTATTATCTCTTGAAATAGTCACTGGACTTGAGCATGTGGTGGATTTCTACATTTCTAAGAATGCTTGCCATACTTAAAGTTCTGCTACATATAATTCTAATGAAACTGCATTTAAATGGACACTGTGATATTCTCATGATGAACACCAGAGATTGTATATGAAAAGAATTAACCTCAATCCTTCATTTATCATAAACATCCCTAAGCAACCACTACAGAAGTTACCACTAAACTGTAGAAACTTCAGAGTGGCATTTGTGATTGGTGTCGAGGGGCAGCCACTCAACAGAGATAATTTCTCAGGGCATCAGATACAGCACATGTAAGAGATGAAAAATTAGTCAAACACTGGAGGCCACTGAGTATTCTTTATGTAAGGGCACAAATGGGCAAACGTTCGAGTAACAGAATCATTATGAAGAAGCCATCATTTTTCAAAGGTAGACATTTAATTAAAGACTCAGACAGACAGATTAATTATCTTGTTTATTAAATTAATGCAATAGCTTTCTTGATGCAGTGCAGCTGTTTGGTGGCTAAGCCAAACTTCAGGTTATCAAAAAGATAACTCATTTTTTCCCCACATGGAAAAAGTAATTGCCCTTGATGTGTTCTATTGCAGCTCATCTCAAATCCCTGAGGCTGGATTCTTAATACAAACTCCATGTCCTGCCTGCTTAAAAACTACCTGTGCCTCCCCAATGTGGGGAAGAACCACTCACTAAATGTTCAACAGCAGGCAGCTGGTTAATGGGAACTTTGCCAAGAAGATTTAAAAAAAAAATCTATCCATCAGGAAACATTTTTACCACCCCACAAATATTCCCCTGAGCCTTTCAGCATCTCATAGTGTCATCACATGGGTTTATTTGATGGTTTTGAGCATCTGCAGGGCAAAAAAGTTTAATTCCAGAGTAGGGTTTATGTCTTCTGTTTTACTTATGTTTTGACTTTCTTCCTTGGTATCTTTGAGACCCTTTGGCCACTTATACAGCTAGATGACAATGTACCATGCATGCTGTAAGGAAAAGTACAAATGGAACTTGTATCAGGAAATTCTCTGAGATTTAGCAAGTAGATTTTTATTCCCTCTGCTGGAAAGACACTTCAGTTTTCCTTGAAAGGTGTCTCCCACAGCCAATGCATATAAATTAAAATTTGTCAACCTTTAAAAATGGATCTAAAATTTTGTGAGAGTAAAATTATTTTTAGTTGTAATAATGGCATATGTTATACAGACATCAAAAGCAGTTAGAGGATTTGCTTGCATGTAGGCTGATGAGTGGGTTATGAGCAAATAGTTATCATAAACAATTGGGTACTGACCCATCATCAGAGAGTCCTAAAGGAATAATGCCTAACATCATAGCATGCATACAGTAGAAGCATAATAAATATTTGTTAAATAAACAGAAAGGAGAGAGCGTGCCCTGTGTGGTGTTTCAGGATTGACAACCTCTGAAGCAAATGTCAAAAGGGGCAAGTGTGATTATTTTTGAGTGGCACAGTCAGGATTGGCCTTTGGAGTATTTCCCTGTGTATATCTCCAGATGACAACCTACTGTGGTCTTGGTGAAGATGCCTTATACCCCCCAACAGCTTTTACAGAGACTGGGAGTTGGGTTGGGGGAATTTATAGATAGCTGCCACCCTCATTCCTAACCAAAACGTTCTCCTCTTCTTCCAGATTGTCTTTCACTTCTGTGTCTATGCATTCTCAATTAATTGTTCTCTCTATTGTTATTTTGGTGAGATTTGCCACCATGGTTTCAAGTCTTTCTATTCTGCTGATTATTTCTGCTATGTAGGCCCTAAGTGATCACTATTTTTCTCTTGAAACATTTGGGAACATCCTGTTATTGTTCTAAGCTCTCTTGGGAAGCCATAGGATCTTCTGCCTCATCAGGTATTGATTCATTTTCACTTGCCCTGAAATATTTATTCAGAAATATATGGACTTGTTTAGATGATATGGAGGCCATATTAGTCCTTTCTTTTAATAATATCTTCTCTGTTTATTAATCTATTTGAGGTCTTTGAGTTTTATTTCTCCTCAAATCTTTGGTAATTTCAATCCTTTTTTCCTTATACCCCCCCATCACAATTTTCTGTCTCCTTCTCCTTTGATGTCAGTTTCCCCAGGGACTAGACCTGAAAGCTGCCTCAGCTTTCTCCCACTCTGGGGAATAATGCACTTTTCAGTCTCTGTATCACATGCCTTCTGGGGGGTTAGAATTGACCCCATCTAGATGCCAGATCCTTGTTTTCCAGACCTGCTGAAGTCCTCTACATACACTGGTTTTCTGCTCTAGTTGTTGATGATCTTCATTCTCTGGTTGAACATAATCACAGCACAACATGCTGTTACCCAGCAGTCACAGGCAGAACATAATTCCCACTTTCCACAGCAGAGGGTGAGGGAGTAGGAAGAGTTGAGTTCTATTGTAAGCTCAAGGGTTTGCTTATGTAGCCTTGCCATAGCAGGGTGCCCATTAGGGGAGGGAATGCTGAATGAATCCATCATGGATTAGGGATCAGGCTTATCTATTGTTAATTCATTGGATTACTACCTTGATAAAGTTCTTGGTATCTGAGACAATGGGAACAACTGAAATGGTTTTATCTCTTGCACATAATTCCTATTTAGGAAAAGTATGAAAGGTTGCAAGAATCAGGGAAAATGTCTGGTCCTCCATGTTGCTGGTTACGTGACCCAGAAACCCTTAACCCAGACTTTCAAAGGAAAACTGCGACTACACTTCTTCCTTCTAAAAATTAAAAAAAAAAACTCATAGCAAATAAATATATGAATGGCTGCATGTCACCTCTCAAAGGAACCACATAGGTCTATATGGTAATGAGAACATTGTGGGTCTTCAACTGACATTAAATAATCAAAGAGAAAGGTTTTCCAAAAATATCACTTCATTTTTAACTCAGCACAGGAATTTCACTCCAAAAATGATTCAAGGATTATCAAGGAAGAATCCCTGTGCTTATTTTGCTTTATTCCACCAAGGTACACTTTTGATGACCAGCCCCACATTACTCTTCTTCCTTAGAAGTTAATTTATTCTCTGACCTGCTTAATCACAAATGGGATATGACTTATATGACAACATCCCACTGACACTGATTCTTTCTTCCCAGGGGGTTATGATGGAAGTGATGTGGAGTTTTCATGGTTGAGGGGCAATGACTCTGTCCGAGGCCTTGAAAATTTACGACTGGCTCAGTATACTGTGCAGCGGTATTTCACCTTAGTTACTACGTCCCAACAGGAAACAGGTAAATGAAGGAGATGAAATTCAATAAAAGGAGAAGTAACTGAAATGAGGAGGAATGGTGGAGGTAGGGTAGGACTACTGAATTTAGATGTATCTTCAATTCTCCTTTTTACTTTTTTCAATGCCCTTCTGGATAGAAAAGTCTCCTGAGGAAAAAGACAATTGGGCCTGTCCCTGTCCATTTAAAACACAGAAGTAGAATAACTCTCTAAGGAATAGAAGACATTTCTAGGCCAATTCTGAGGCAAACTGACATTTATCCAAAGTCATTTTCTAACAGTCAGTGAAACCCTGAGGCTCTCACATGCATAAAATTCACCTTGAAATCACTTTGTTGAAATGATATTTCTTCTGTGTTTTACTGGAGGATTGGTTCTCTGCCACAAAAATTAATACTGCATTGATAGGTGAGGAAGGTATCAGAAATTCACAACATCAGCGGGGTTACTTTCACATTTGAAAAGGAAGAAATTGTTTGTTTCACAGTGTTTCAATACTTAGATAACCTACCAGTCTCAGGTTTGTTAACAATCTTTCCTTAAATATGCACATGATTTTTCATGTATAAAATAGAAATGTAGCATTTTTTACCCTCAGTAGCTTGTGGTAACATCAAAGATACTTACTACTATCAATGTTTATGAACTTCAAAAACATATATCATATTTACTTTCTTAGAGTGGGAACTATAGTATATTGGACAAATACCATTTTCCAGATCTGGGATCCATTCATATTTTGTAGCTCTTCAAGTTTCAATATGAGCCAAGATTGTTTCAGTTTTAAAAACCACAAATAATTATTGTCAGCTAATTTAATAAAGATTAGAATTATTAATTAAAGTCATAAAAAATTCAGGATTTCATGTAAAGTTGTAGAGGTTAAATGTTCCTTAAGGTTCCCTTCTAAGTCAGGTGAAAGGATCAAATATCAAGAGGCAGTGTGGTATAATAGATAGAACACTGGACTAGAAGTCAGTAGACCTAGGTTCTCATCCTGATTCTACCATTCTCGTATGACCAGAGTTTGAGTCCTGGCCTCGATTTCCTTACTAATAAAATAAGAAAGTCAATGCTCTCTAAGGTCACTTGATTCAATTAAGAGACTTCATTTCCCATAAAAAGAGTTTCTGTGTCTTCATTGACTTTTCAGTTATTTTAGATACTTGATCCAAGTTTAAATTCTCAGGTTTAAATTTTTGCAGAGCCTCCTGTCTGTCCACCATGCCACACCTTTTCTAGCTCTACCTACTTAGGTAGAATATACGCCATTGCTTAGGCTAGACCTATCTACTACAATATACAGGCAGATATTTTCTAGATAACTCTGTTACTCAGCATTCCTTTATTCAAAATTAACTAACTTTCATGGTTAGAATACAATAATTATTCAAAATAGTCATCAAGGTTTAATATTATTGCTTTTTGAATCACCAAAGAGGCAGGCCTAGAAGCAGCTAGGTGGTACAGTGGATAGAGAGCTAGTCTTGGAGTCATGAAGACATGAGTTCAGATCTAGCCTTAGACATTTATTGTGTGACCCTGAATAAATTACTTCTGTCTACCTTAGTTTCCTTACTTGTAAAATGGGGATAATAGCACCTACAGCAAGGTTGTTGTGAGGACAACATAAGGTAATATTTGTAAAACACCTTGTAAACTGTAAAGTCCTATATAAATTCTAGCTATTATCATTACACTCAAAAATATTGAATTATGGCAAGTATAATCTTTGTACTAATTATATTTTGCTATACCATCTTCTTTGGGAAATTGGCTATTGATTATGCCATATATGATAAATCTCTATTAACCTATTTGGCTAGCCAAAACACTGTTTTTTCCAACTATGCCAAAGAATTTAATGAATTTGTTGCAAAATGCAATTTCATATATTGTAATCCTCCTAATATATAAGACTCACTCTATTTCTAAGTGAGCTGATATTATTTTACATTTCTTGTTTTCTGTATTCTAGGAAATTACACCCGACTGGTCTTACAATTTGAACTTAGGAGAAATGTCCTGTACTTTATTTTGGAAACCTATGTTCCTTCTACTTTTTTAGTCATCTTATCCTGGGTTTCCTTCTGGATTTCCCTTGATTCAGTACCTGCAAGAACCTGCATTGGTAAGTTCCTACCATGGAAATGATGGTTCAAGAAGGATCTCCCAACTGACCAGTCAACACTAACAATGTCAATATCATTCCCATTATTATTACATTGGTCTCATGGGGTGGTTTCCTCATAGGTTTAGCTCATAGGGTTGTATTGTATATTTGCAACAATGAAGCCCTAAATGTAGGGAAAAATATTAGATTTTCTATATATCGGTATTTCATGTACTGAATGTTCCCTCTGCCCTCCAGGGTAAAAAGGTTAATTTTTTTTTAAATTATGTTTTTTCAATTAAAGAAAATTCATCTTCTCTCCCTTTTACATCCCCCCCACACCCACATTGAAAAAGAAAAACAAAACCCTTATTACAAACATGCATAGTCAAAGCAAAACAAATTTCTACATTGGCCATATCCCACCTCAACCCCCAAAAATGTATGTCTCAATATGAAATCTGAGTCTATTACTTCTCTGTAAGAAGGTGTGTAATATGTTTCAAAATAATTTTTTTTAAGTAAGTGGCCTATCCTTGTATAAAATGTATCCATTGTAGACCTGTTTTCCTTGTTCCTGGATTTTTTCAGAAAGGAACTCAACTCTGTTCATATGGAGAGAAAGAAAAAAATCTAAGACTTTTTCACTGGTATGAGAATATTTTTCCTCTTTCATTTCTCAGGTGTCACCACTGTACTGTCAATGACAACCTTGATGATTGGTTCCCGTACATCTCTGCCTAATACTAACTGCTTTATAAAGGCCATTGATGTATACCTTGGGATCTGCTTTAGCTTTGTTTTTGGGGCTCTGTTGGAATATGCAGTTGCCCATTATAGCTCCTTACAGAAGCTGGAAGCCAAAGACAAGGTAAGAATTTTGAGTTTAACAATAGGCCCCCAACAGGATGTAATAATATAAATGATCCCCAGATCTAGGCTTGCATTGGCAAAATATGAAAATAGACTCCTCAGATTATATCCAGGTGGAGAAAATGGTGAACAAGAGTGGGCAAATAACACAATGACTTTCACCCTCGCTTGGTTGCTAGCATGAATGATTTCATAAATAGCCATCAATCAATCAATAATTAGTGGGCACCTACTATGTGCCAGGCATTACCAGGCTAAATGCTGGAGATCCAAAAGGGGAAAAAATAGTTCCTGCCCTCATGTAGCTTACAGTCTAATGAGGGAGACAACATGCAAACAAATATATATAAAGCAAGCTATATACAAGATAAATTGGAAATAATTAACAGAGGGAAACCATTATCCATTAACAAAGGAGGGACAAGGATAGGGATTGGACCCAGAGGAAACTCCAGGATGAGGAAACCACCTTTACTAATGCAAAATGGTATCTTCTTTTCAACTTAGAGTCTTAGAAAGTTGCCTAGAGCATTGAGAGATTCAGTAACTTGCCCAGGGTCACACAAACAGTATATGTCAGAGCAGGCACTTGAACTCACATCTTCATGGTTGGTATGCAAGCTTTAAATCCACTATGCCATGCTGCCTAACAAAGAAGATGATTCTATATATGAAAGACCAAGAATACTGATTTGATTACTTTTACTACATGTGTGCAAGTTAGAAAAGGTATATATTGATTAAAATAAATTTCTGGGTTTGCATTTTGATGCTCATATCATGTGAACCTTACAAATCCAATTTTAACCTTGATAAATTGTTACTGAGATCAACCATTTGAAAGATGCTTTCTGCCCAATTGCCCCCTTATCCTTGACCTTCCCTGCCCTGTGGCCCAAGAAAGGTATTACTCATTACAGAGTTTTACGCAGATCAGAAGTCAACCACATGGGCTGCTTCCTGATATTGTAGTCTATTAGCCCTCTTAGTTAATTACCTCAACTTCCTTAATGTAGGCAAACATCATTCCCCTTTTTTATGCCAGCAGACTAGATATGGTAACTGACTATGTAACAAATAAGTCATGGCACCCTAAAGTCTGAATTTCAGGACAGATTTCTTAGCACTAGATGCCATTTTTTTTATTAAACTTGTATTTAAGCACTATGCCTCAACATTTATGACCTTTAAGTTCCTCCTTATTTAATTATCCACTTAATTTTTTTTTGAGTCAAGTGTTTATAAGTTAACTACTTTCTCTATAAACTAGAGGAGTTCTAAAGAAGTAGAAGAAGTCAATATTACTAACATCATCAACAGCTCCATCTCCAGCTTCAAGAGAAAGATCAACTTTGCCAGCATTGAAATCTCCAGTGATAACGTCAACTATAGTGACCTGACAATGAAAACCAGTGACAAGGTCAAGTTTGTTTTCAGGGATAAAATGGGTAGAATTGTTGATTATTTCACAATTCAAAATCCTAGTAATGTAGACCGTTACTCCAAACTATTATTTCCTTTGGTTTTCATGCTAGTCAATGTATTTTACTGGGCATATTATTTGTATTTTTGAGAACCAAATGCCTTGAAAATTTTTGTCATAAGTAATGATACAATTGGCATTTTAGTCCTAACATGCACAATAGCTCTATGGTACTAGAAGTAGCCAAGATATAACATTTGAGTAGTCATCCTTGAAAAGTGGCCCTTATATGTATTCTAGTGTGCCATGTCCCTTCTGGTAGTGTCTAATATCTTGTGATGAGAACACCAACTTATTTCTCTCCTTTTCTTTTGAAGGACATCTTCCCAGTGCCCTGAGACTCTATGCCATAGTTGTCTATGTGATGAATGTCAATAGGCTGCCTTCAACTCTTATATACCACTGGTATTTAATAATAATAGCTAACATTTATATAGCATGGGCTAAACGTTTTACAAATATTATACCATTTGATCCTCACAGCAACCCTAGGAGGAAGATGCTATTATTATCCTCATTTTACAGATGAGGAAACTGAGGCAAACAGAAGTTAAATGACTTGCCCAGAGTCACACAGTTAGTAAACATCTGAGGCCAAATTTGAACTCAGGTCTTTTTGACTCCAAGACCCAATGCTTTATCCACTGTGCCATCTAGCTAACTACACAGTGCTTTGACATTTGCCAAGTGCTTCCCTCTTCCCCATATACACAACTTTTTAAATGACCCAAGTGAGAGAGATTTCTACATTAGAGAAACATATTATTTGCTAACATTCTAGAGTTCATTATTGTCTGTATATAAAATATTCTCAGAACTTCTGGCAAACAATGCGCTATACTTTGGAAGTTTATAGGCAGCCCTTCTCAGAATAACTTTGCCAAAATAAAGTTAAAATGATCTTTCTAAAGTTCTTTCCACTAAGAAGAGTAAAACAAATTTGTCATGTTTCAATAGCTCTTTCCATTCAAACTTCACATATAAGTGAAGAAAAATGTTTAGAGTATTAACATTCTCTTGAGTCTCTTTCTATTGATATGATACAGTGAATCCTCCAAATTGGAATGACACTTGGGTCCATATTTCAAGAGCACCTTATCATCCATGGACCTTATCACTTCTCAAAAGGAAAATATAGCACATATCTCACCCCCAAAGCAAAACAACTATCTCCTCCCCAATATCTATGGTAAATATGGATATAGTTCATATATTCCAGAAATCTCAAGAGACATTTTTGTAAGAGATACAGTGTATATTTCTAACTACCTTTATTTACATATTGATACGTGAAAGGAGTACCAATGTAAAAAACCACATCTTCTACTCAATAAGTTGTCTCCTTAAATACAATACTTTCCTCCAGTTGAAAAAGAACAGAGAATTTGGAATCAGAAAACCTATGAATTATATTTGTTTTTATTTTTTTAAGTTTTATTATAGTCACTTTACTATAGTCACTTTCCAAAATACACCTCCTCCCTTCATGGTACTCTTTTAATAAAGAAAAAGTTAAGCAAAACCAATCAGCAAAAATATCATATTTGACAGTATATACAACAGTCCACATCCAAAGTCCCCTACCACTCTACCTCAAGGAGGAAAGCATATTTCATCACCTGTTCTCCAGAACCAGGAATTGTCATTGCAACTAATCCGAGTTCATTGGTCTTTGGGGATTGTTTTCATTTACATGATTGAGGTCACTGTATATTTCTTCTCCCAGTTTTGTTACTTGGCTCTACATCAGTTCATATAAGTCTTTCCATGTTTCTCTGGAATTCTTTCTATTTGTTGTTTCTTACAGTGTAATGATATCTTAGAATACTTTTATACAACTATTTGTATACAACTATCTGCCATTTCCCAATTCATGGGTACCCACTTTGTTTCCAGTTTTTGCTAACAGAAGAAATGCTATTACAATTTTTTTTGTATATATTGCAACTTTCTGGTGTGTTTGTTTTTCTGAGTCCTTGGGATATATGCACTTTGGTTGGATCACTGCGTCAAAGGGTATGAAAAACTGCAGTGACTTTTTAAAAATTTAATTTCAAATTGTTTTCCAGAATCAAACCAATCATAGGAACTGTATTTGAATCCTGGCTCTATTACTTACTACCTGTGTAATCTTGAGTGAGTTACCTAATTCCTCTAGGCCTTTATTTCCTTACCTGAAAAAAAAGGGAAGAGGGAAGAATTGGATTAGATGGTCTCTAAAGTCCCATCCAGCTAAGTGCTATTATCCTTTGAGCCTTCCAAAAGAAGGCTGTTACCAGAATTCTAATGACCAGGAATGTTAATGCTATATTACTCATGTAGACGGTATGCTCAGGACATTGATAAAGTATTTTTATTAATCCTTTTATTGTCTCCTTAATGAGGTGTTCAATCCCCCTGAGAAACTTGGGTGAATCTTTGACCCTTTGTACTGCCCTTGCCCCTTTAACACTGTATGAGGATGATTGATTCACAGAAAGAACCACAGCTGAGAACTGGAGGCTTGGTTCGAGAACCCCTCTGATGGGTGCAAGAATTCATCTATTCTATCCCCACTATTTCTGACTTACATTCCTATAACTTCTAGTTTGTTCTAGATACTCTATGACACTCTCCACTGCCTGCATCCACTGCTACCTCTGGGGCCTCATGTTTACCTGGGAGGGCCTTGTAGAGGTATAAATCTTCCCTTCTATAAACCAAGTCCAGGGGTCTGTGTATAGCTCTTTGTCTTCTCTATTTCTGCCTCCACTTTTGCTCTGTTTCCCTTTTAAGGCAAAGTCCAAGGGTGTAACTCAGGTGCATGAACTATGAGATAAATCAGTCATAATCATTCATCCATGTTGGGATATTAAAGGGAAAAGAGGAGGATCCAGGGCCAGTTGAGATAACACTTTATCAAAGTATTATCGAATGAGCTAATGAGGACTTTACTAGCACCCTGGAGAGGGCTCTTCTGGGCACATTCCTTACATTCAAATATCTGTGGTAGTTATGATGTATTTGCTTCTTCTACCTGATTTGTTTGATATGGTCCATCATTTTATTGACAATAGAAAATGTTAATTAAGATAATTTCCTGCCACAGACGAGGCATACTCTACAAATACAGCACCTTCCATTCTGTCTAAATTAGAATAGCCAGGTCAAGGCAATCTCATTGTACTGAAAAGAAGAAAATATATCAGGTTAGAAAGCCTTTGAGTTCAGTCTAGTCTTCTTAAAGTATCTTCCCTTAACCTCCCTGCTTTTCTTTTTTAAAATTAATACATGCTATTATTCTTCCTTCCAGAAACAAACAAGGCATCAATTGAGATCACTTGTGTTCTTCCAAAATCACCTGCACCAACAGGGATATACATTCATTTTTAGCTAATACTTCCTATAATTACATTTCTATGGATTTAATTGCCAACAATTTTTTATAATACTAAAAAACAAATGGAAGGATTAAGAAGATAGAATGTGGTTGTACAGTCCAATTCTGTTTATAATAAGAAAAACTCAAGTAGAATGATATTAATGCCCTGCAACATCATTCATACATCACATAAAGAAACTACAGCAATGTGAAATAAAGAGATAAAATACCAGGTGTTAGCTGTGTTCATCGACAGAATTAGCATTGAGAGAAATCTCTTGAAAAAGCTGCATATCATGACAGAAACTTAATGGATGCTTTCACCCCTACACCAAAATAAGATCACTGTGATACATTAAAAAAAAAGTAACAACTATTTACCAGCACAAATAGCGAATGTCAGAGACAAAGTCACCATTACTATTTTCATTGATACCGATTTATTATGACATTTCCCTTGCAAATAGGTAGCTGAGATGGAATTGTAGGAGATCAGATTCTTGGAGAATGGCATAGCTTCATTTCTTTATTGCTCTGGTCTCATTGCATTATATTTTCTTACAATTTGCAAATACTTTTTGGCAAAAGATACCATTCTTTTATTTAGTATCCTGTATTTTTGCATGAGTTCTAAAATTGAATAGTTTATGAAAGTACATTCTGATATAATAGAGTTACAATAGTAATGCCTGAATACATGCAGTAAGTTGGCCAATGCAATATATGCCAATGTCCATTTTATTCAATATTTTTAATGTTCTGGTTATAGAAATCAAGCTTATATTTATCACATTTTAAGTCATGCCAACTAGGTGGTAATACTGTAGGACACAGGAATAAAATTCAAAAAGTTTTGATAAAATGGGGAGAAAAATCATTCTGAGGAAAAAAAAAACAGGATAAAACTCAATAGAGAGAAATGCCAGAGACAAAAAAAGGAAGAAGAAGAGAAAGGGAAGGAAAAGGAGGGGAAGAATGAAGAAGAAGAAAATGGTATATATTATACCATTAACTAACTGCCATCAATAGATAGGTAAATACAAGAGTTCTGGGAATAGCCATACCTCAACATTCCTAACCCCCATCACTAGATGGACAAGACATATGCAGAAAATAGAAAGAAATAATTTAGTAGGAAAGGCATTAGTAGCTGGCAGAAAGGGGAAGAAGAAGAGGGGGGAAGTCAGAGGGGATCAAGGAAGGTTAGCAAAAGATTATATTTGAATTGAATCTTAAAGGAAGCCAGAGAAGATAAGAGGTGGAGGTGATGGGACAACATATTCCAGGCATGTACAGTAAGTACAAAGTTATGGAGACAGGAGATGGAAGTATCCTATCCAAGAGCTGCAAGTGGACCAATGTAGCTGCATGGAGAGGAATAAAATGCAAGAAGACAGAAAAGGTAGGAAGTGGCCAGGTTCTGAAGAGCTTTCAATGTTCAACAGAGGAGTTTCAATTTGATCCTTGAAGTAATAGGGAGTGTTCAAAGTGTAAGAGTAGAGGGGGTAACAAAGTCAGACTTACGTTTTAGAAAAATCACCTCGGTGGTGAAGTGGAGGATGGATTAATGGGAAACTTGAAGGAGAGAGACTAGCTAAAAGCAATTATTATAATAATTCTGGTGAGTGGTAGCCATTTCATTATTAAAGTCCAATTTGGTCCACCATAATTTTCAAAGGATGTATAAACATTGAAATGGATTCAGAGAAGCATGACAAAGGGGATCAAAATAATTGAAACAATCTAATATAAGGAAGAGTTGCTTGTGCTCTAGAAGAAAAGAAAAGAAGTAGTGGCAAGACAAAGGACATCTTTAAGCACATGAATGGTTTTTTTGAGGGGTTGCTAATCTTTTGTTCATATTCAGAGTGCCCAACAAGAATAAAACAGCTTAAAATTACTTAGGAGAAATTTTCATTGTACTTCACTTTCCATCTGCAGCTCAACTTGGTTTCAATTTCATAGGACAAGATGCCCTGTGCCCCCTAGTGTCTCACCACCCCTGCTTTCCAACTTCCATTTGCATGTTGTCTTCCTCTATTAGATAGTAAGTTCCATGAGGGCAGGGACTATCTTTTTCATTTATATTCACAGTGTCTAGCA